CCCCCCCCCCCCCGCCCCCAACCTGGGGAGGCAGCGTCCTTCATAATTTATCGCGAAGTCTCTTCTAGGTGAGGTTTGTCTATTCTCCGGTCCAGCCATTTCTAGTTCAGGCCAGAGAATTTTTAAAGTGACCTCTGGATCTTTTTCTCTCTAACTAGAAAAAACCATTGATTTGAACTGGTTTACTCAAAAGTTTTTTCAATTTCTTTGCTTTCACCTTTTTGTCTGGTCCTCTGCCACATTGTCATAGACAGGAAGGTGGTGGGTGGCATGAAACACTAATGCCTCCAATTAATTTCTTGTTTCCTCGTCTCTTTACATTCTTGGCTTTTCTTGGAGGAGGCTGGGTCACCTGCTTTTACCTGCTATACATAGGGGATGGCCTTTCTTTTTTAGCTTGTATCCCAGTGTCCCTACTGAAATCCTGATATATTTTGTGTGTTCTTTTCCACATGGCAGATATCGGAAAACAAGATATCGTTAGAGAAGTTAAAGGATGTTATTGCAATGAATGCCTCAGAACTTTCAGAGGTAAAGCTGCCTATAATTCCTGCAAGATATTAATACAATGTCTTAGTTTTATTGCGAGTCAGAAACATCAATGAGAGAGAAACATCGATCAGCTGCCTCCCGCACATCCCCTCCTGGGGATGTGCCTGTAACCAAGGTACATGCCCTTGACCGGAATCGAACCCGGGACCCCTCAGTCCGCAGGCCGACCCTCTATCCACTGAGCCAAACCGGTTAGGGCCAGAGAATTTTTAAAGTGACCTCGGGATCTTTTTCTCTCTTACTAGGAAAAACCATTGATTTGAACTGGGGTACTCAAAAGTTTTTTCATTTCTTTGCTTTCACCTTTTTGTCTGGTCCTCTGCCACATTGTCATAGACAGGAAGGTGGTGGGTGGCATGAAACACTAATGCCTCCAATTAATTTCTTGTTTCCTCGTCTCTTTACATTCTTGGCTTTTCTTGGAGGAGGCTGGGTCACCTGCTTTTACCTGCTATACATAGGGGATGGCCCTTCTTTTCTAGCTTATATCCCAGTGTCCCTACTGAAATCCTGATATATTTTGTGTTCTTTTCCACATGGCAGATATCGGAAAACAAGATATCGTTAGAGAAGTTAAAGGATGTTATTGCAATGAATGCCTCAGAACTTTCAGAGGTAAAGCTGCCTATAATTCCTGCAAGATATTAATGCAATGTCTTAGTTTTATTGAGGAGCAAACTCTTATTTGTGCTAGAATATGCAACTGAAAACTATCTGATGTCTAATTGGGAAAGTGAAACTTTGTGGGGTGTTTTTTTTTTTTCCTTTGGAATCAATTCATTAATAGGAGTGTTTCGCATTAGGTTCAGATTGCCCTTAACGAAGCTAAACTTAGTGAAGAGAAGGTGAAGTCCGAATGCCACCGGGTTCAAGAGGAAAATGCTAAGCTTAAGAAGAAGAGAGACCAGGTAAAGAAAAGTTAACGCGTAGATGATGTAAACTACAGAACCCAATACCATTGCCTCTTGAATATCTTTTCTCAGATCTGTTTTTAAGGAAATGAAATATGTATGCAGGATTCTATTCTGAGATATGCAGAGTTTAAACTGTGCTCCCCAAATTGAGTACATGTGTTCGTCCTCCATCTGTTCTGGATTTTCTGTTCTGTACAGTTTCTTAGAGCTAGCGGAGTGCTTAGTCTTCGTCTTCAAACACCAACCAGTTATTAACCTAAATGGCCTCAAGGGGGCGGTGGATTTGCTTCTTAAACTAAAGAATTAGTCTAAGCCAGGGGTGGGCAAACTTTTTGACTCGAGGGCCACAATGGGTTCTTAAACTGGACCGGAGGGCCGGAACAAAAGCATGGATGGAGTGTTTGTGTGAACTAATATAAATTCAAAGTAAACATCATTACATAAAAGGGTACGGTCTTTTTTTTTTTTTTAGTTTTGTTCATTTCAAACGGGTGGATCCGGCCCGCGGGCCGTAGTTTGCCCACGGCTGGCTCTAAGCAGTTCCTGCTTCAAGGGAAGATGGCATTTCTGGGTCTGGGAGACTTGAGATTGTTCCCTTCTGCTCCTACTGGGTGTTAGTTCTTTGAATTGGCTGCCATTTTCTGAAGGATACAGTAAACTGGATCAGCTTCTGAGGGTTGGAGCCACTTTCCCTTCGCCCTTAACCGAGGCCGTAGCCCGTGGGGACGGGCAAAGAGGAGCCTGGCTCCGTACTAACCTGTCTTGGTTACGTGGTCCTGATGTCTCCAGTACAAAGCCCTAACTTTCGGAAATTCGTGTGCTTTAACTTTTCAGTTGCAGCAGGAAATCAAAGACTTGAATAAATCCCACGCTGAGCTCAGTGAGCAAATCAAATCATTTGCGAAGTCTCAGAAAGATATGGAAGTAACTCTTACTCAAAAGGATGATAATATCAATGTAAGTTCATTCTCTCGAGCACGTTTAGTTCTCATGAACTCCCACGCAGCCAGGAGGTTCCTTCTAATACCCTTTTTGCTTCTTTTCTAGGCTTTGACGAATTGCATCACACAGTTGAATCGGTTAGACTGTGAATCTGAATCTGAGCATCAACATAAAACAGGAAATGAATCAGATGAACTAGCAAACGGGGAAGTGGGAGGTAAGAGGGGTTTCAGGCAGGCTAGTCCTCTTTCTGCCTTCCTGTCTTTAATCAAGTAACCAGTGCGCCTTTAGAGTTGTGGGCGCACGTCGCTGGATCTGTGTGTGCGTCTGTGTGCGCTGGGCAGAGGTGGGTGGCTGGGCTGCGGTGTGACAGTGGGCGTGCCGTGAGCACTGGTTTTGCTTTTCCATCCCAGTAGAACTAGACATGTGCACTGGTGCTGGGCACTGAGCACTGGTCAGGAGGAGAAACTGGTTTCCCACCTTCACGGAGATGACACTGGGATTTAATGCTCATCATCTCTGTAGCTCCGTGGTTTGAAGGCCCCACAACCGACTTTGAGAGTGAGGTGGTGGGAACTGACCAGGTCAGGAACACGTTTAGTTCTCATGAACTCCCACGCAGCCAGGAGGTTCCTTCTAATACCCTTTTTGCTTCTTTTCTAGGCTTTGACGAATTGCATCACACAGTTGAATCGGTTAGACTGTGAATCTGAATCTGAGCATCAACATAAAACAGGAAATGAATCAGATGAACTAGCAAACGGGGAAGTGGGAGGTAAGAGGGGTTTCAGGCAGGCTAGTCCTCTTTCTGCCTTCCTGTCTTTAATCAAGTAACCAGTGCGCCTTTAGAGTTGTGGGCGCACGTCGCTGGATCTGTGTGTGCGTCCGTGTGCGCTGGGCAGAGGTAGGTGGGTGGCTGGGCCGCGGTGTGACAGTGGGCGTGCAGTGAGCACTGGTTTTGCTTTTCCATCCCAGTAGAACTAGACATATGCACTGGTGCTGGGCACTGAGCACTGGTCAGGAGGAGAAACTGGTTTCCCACCTTCACGGAGATGACATTGGGATTTAATGCGCATCATCTCTGTAGCTCCAGGGTTTGAAGGCCCCACAACCGACTTGGAGAGTGAGCTGGTGGGAGCCATGAACTGACTAGGTCAGGAGAGCAAGGCTGAAGTGTAGCCGTGTTTCCTGATGGGATGTTTCTGGATGCTGCTTCCCGAGTTGGATGTTG